CCACAAGACTTTTTTTTAATATTTTATTTATTTAATATGTATACAATATTCTGTGTGTGTGTATGCTTGCAGACCAGAAGAGGGCACCAGACCTCATTACAGATGGTTGTGAGCCACCATGTGGTTGCTGGGAATTGAACTCAGGACCTTTGGAAGAGCAGGCAATGCTCTTAACCTCTGAGCCATCTCTCCAGCCCCAGCCCACAAGATTTACAGGTGTTTTAGATGTTTCTGGAAGTCACATTTAGAATTGAACTGTCTGAACTGTTTCCTCTTTGATGTATATATCTTAGATATATACATATACACATCTGAGGAAACCAGGCCACCAGACTTACAGGTGTTTTAGAAGTTTATAGAAGTCACATTTAGAATGGAACTGTCTGACCTGTTTCCTCTTTGGTCTTTACACGTGGCAAAGGAACTACTTTGGGATTAGTGGTATCTGCCGGTGAGTTGAAGATGTTGCTACAAAGCTGTATAGGCCAGTAAGAAAAATTAGTTTCTAATGCTATTATAGAAAAAGTCCCCTCCTGAAGCTGTATGTGTTAAACAATGCAAATGGCATCTTTAAAAGGCCCATTTATGTAGATACTTAAAATTGCAACACACATTTGGACATTTCTAGACACAAATACTATAGAATATAAGTATCACAAAGTAACAAAAATAAGCGAAAAAGTTAGTACTAGCATTAAAAAGCTTAGTGTGCTGTTATGTTCACGCGGGGACACCCAGCCTGCTTTCAGAGATAAGCTGAGCGCAGCGAGTAGAAGGTCAAGCGAGGACAGTAGGGTGTATGCTGACCATTGTGCCAGGGCATAAATTTGGAACCTTTTAGCAAACCAAAGCGACCCAGGGAGCCAGGGCTTTCACTTATTGTTATTGTGTCTGTAGCAGCATCTGGCAGTAGTAGTGGCCTGGTCCTCTTTATTTAGTGGTGCTATGCTCTTGCCAATGTGTGTTTGGCCTGATACGTTTTGGAAATACTTATTGACATGCAATCAACATTTCTAATTCAATCTGCTTGCATGTTCTTATCTGGCTCAGTTCCCCATCGCCACCCAATCCTATATGTCCCTTATTAAAATGCTTACCCATCCTGATTCGATTGATTCACTTAGTGTCTTTTTCCCTGGCTTGTCTAAGCCAGGCAGAGGAGTGACCACATCAGCCTTGTTCACCAATGAGCTCCCGCTGTCTAACATATGCCCAGGTGCTTATTACATGTGTAATGAATATTTGTTAAATGACTGACAGACTGATTGAACAAATGACAGCCAGGCTAATGGCTGCGTAGGCAAATTTAGTTGAAGTTGCGGTGACAGGAAGCCTAGATGACTTTCCTGATGGATCTGTGGAGAAATGGATGGATGGATGACCTCATTCATCAAGTACTGAGTTCCTCCAGTGTTCTAGTCTGTGATGATATGAGAAAGATGGCTGAGGTCCTTTCCTCTGTGTGGTGTATGCTCTGGTGAGGAGCCCCTGCCTTAGATCACAGACTGTGTAGCATCTACGTGCAGGTGTGAGGTGACAAAGCAAGCCCCTCAGAATGAACACCGTGGGTAAGCAGAAACTGCATGTTCATCTCCCAGCCGCCCAGATCCGAATGATCACACAGAAACTATATTAATTACAACACTGTTTGACCCAGTAGCTTAAATTAGCCCATGTCTATTAATCTGTATATTATCATGAGGCTGTGCCCTACTGGCGTGGTTCTGGCGTCCTTCTCCTTTGGCAGATACTCCACCTTCTTTTTCTCTATATCTCTATTTCAATTTCCCGTTTAGCCTTATTCTGTTCTGACATAGGCCAAAGCATCTTCTTTATTAACCAGTGGTAATAAAACGTATTCACAGCATGCAGAGGGGAATCCCACAACAGCCATGCTGGGTGCTGCCACTGTGGTTCTTCTCTTCTGACTGGAAGTGGTGCGTGTCAAGATGCTACCCACTGACAGCTCCTACCACCTTCTCTCTTGTCTCCCTCAGAGGCTCAGAACTGGGTCTACCCACTGTGCCTCAGCATCCTCCTGGAGACAGATAGCCAGGCATGGTCAGTGGCAAATCATTCTAAGAATTCCACCCAAGACCGTGTCCTTGGATGACAAAGACAGACGTTGGATAGCTAGGGATTTCATCCATCTAGAAAACTAAGATAGTTCTGTCGTTATATGAAGCCACTTTCTGATTAAAACTGTAGATAAACATCTCAAGGGACAACCCATTGCTCTCAGTTAGAGGTGATTTTTATATGTTCCTTATCCCGCATAGACTGTAGATTTTTAGTTAAATGAAAGAAGGCATGGATACAATCTCCGTGGGCAACATTTTCCTGGCTATTTGTTCGGCTCTTCTCTTTCCCTCCTTTTTATTTTCTTTCTTTCTTTCTTTCTTTCTTTCTTTCTTTCTTTCTTTCTTTCTTTCTTTCTTTCTTTCTTTCTTTCTTTCTTTCTAAATGGCATTCGCCAAGATCAAAATGTTCAGTGGCATTCTCACATGCTAGGTTGCATGTACAGAGATAGGAATGAAGAACATAGTTCTGCTGTATAGTGAACAGTGGTGGGGCTGTGTGTTACAATCTACTGTGATTGTGCCCTGATTTTACTATTTCTTCTTGGCTTAGAAATCAGTCAGATTTCTTTCTTTTCCTGTGTTAGTTACTAGTGATCGAGAGATAAAAGTGCACTACTTTCAAAGTCTATTTCTTTCTTTCTTTATTTTTTTTTTAATACAGGGTTTCTCTGTGTAGCCTTGGCTATCCTGGAACTCACTCTGCAGACCAGGACAGCCTGGAACTTAAGGATCCGCCTGCCTCTGCTTCCCTACTGCTAGGATTAAAGGCGTGCGCTACAGCCATGTGGCTGTCTATTTCCAACTTCATATTACCATACAAGCCAGGGACTTCCTGGAAAAGCACTGGATGAAGGAGGGTCCACCAAACTAGACTATCTTCCAAGTTTAAGGCCAGTCACGTGATCTGAAGCAGCCTTAAAGACAAACTTTATTCTTCCCTCCATCTTTATTGTCACTCCAGCTTTCATGGCTACACATTGAGAGAAACCCTAACCACGTGTCATATGATCACACACGTGAATTGTGGGTGCACGGCCAAGCTCTGCCTGAACATCAGCATAGGACTAGCTGTCCCGCTCACCGTTTCCTGAGGCGCTCCAGTCCAGAACTGAGCTTCTAAATCTGTCTCTGAGTCACATTCAACCACCTGCCCACTCTTTGTCCTTGGACATCTTTTCTTCCTGTCACCTTGTCCTAGATGCTTTGGAATGCCATGATTAGGACCGGCCATCCAAATTCCTTTCCTTCTTGACGTTGACCTTTGCAGCCATGATTAGGACCGGCCATCCAAATTCCTTTCCTTCTTGACGTTGACCTTTGCAGCCATGATTAGGACCGGCCATCCAAATTCCTTTCCTTCTTGACGTTGACCTTTGCAGCCATGATTAGGAATGGCCATCCAAATTCCTTTCCTTCCTGACGGTGACCTATGCACAGGTGTGGTGTGTTAGGAGCTTCGGTGAGAGTTCTCTCTGGAATGCCAAAGCCCCCCTAGTCCTTTATCACCAGACATGGAGTCCCTAACTTTGTCTTTTTGTGGTTAAGAGAAACTGACAAGTAGTGTGGCTCCCATTATAAGTCGTGATAAAATCACATATCATGATTTGACAAGTAAATTAATTAGTAAGTAATAGAATCACAGAAATATGCAAAGGAGGGGGGTCGATGCTGAAGAGGAGGGGCCGAAGAAGCCCATTTCTGTTAAACTTGGTGTTGCTTTTCCTAAGCGAACTTGGGAACGTTGCTTTTACCGTGAAGTATTTCCTTTGCAGCACGTTCATAATCGGGCGGCACACACAGTGGAGGTTTCTGTGTGTAAAGCCGGATGACAGATTGAAAAGTCCGCAGGTCATCTTGGGTCCTACGTAGTAGAAGGTCCCACAGCTGTCACCAGTTGTCCCCTTTCTCCATACGAATGGACTGTCTCTTTGTTTACCTGCCCACTTGCTTCAAATTGCTTCTTTGTTTGTCTCTTTTCAGAAATTTTTCCCAACTCCCGCCACTCAATCCCTTTGTTGGGAAATGTAAATTCAGTGTAGCAGGAAAAGACATTGCTGAGGGTGTCCAGCCAGGGATGCCAGGCCACAGCTTTATCTCCTCCGACTGTCAGGGACACCAATAGACAGAGGGACCCAGGGCTCTGCCCAGGCACGGGGAGAAATGCCAGTGTGTTCCAACAACAAAATAAATGTCACCATGTTTTGACTGTTCTCTCTTTCTGGCGTCTACAGTGTAAATGTAACATTGAGACCTGAAATTTTCCTGCTACGGTTAATTCTTGATTATAATATAAAGAGAGCCATCCTATGAATTTTAAATCTGTGTTTTTGACTTCGTAATGTGGAGGTTTTGGAGGCTCCACCTGATTCTCCTAACTGGTGTGTTGTTACAGAAGTTGGCTGGAGTCATCCTGGCATGTCTGCTTAGTTCCATGGAAATCACCGTGTTCAGCTTGTCATCTGTAAAATAAGAAATAATATCTACTCAGTGTTTTTTTTCTTTTTGGTAAATGATTTAGCATGTCAAGCATCTGTCAATTCTCATCTCCTATCTTAGCACTATTAGATAATCTAAAATTCACTTTTATTACCAGAATTTAAAATTGGGAAATCAGAAGGCTGTCATTGTTTTTTTTTTTTTTTTCTCTTTTGGGGGCCTCTACCCAGCTCCCAAACAAAGACATGGAGACTTATTCTTAGTTACAAAGGGCTGGCCTTCGTTTAGCTTTTTTCTAGCCAGCTTTTCTAACTTAAATTAACCTGTTTTTCTTTTACATTTTTGCCTCTGGGTTTTTTTCCTTTCTTTATTCTATATGTCTGTCTTTCCTTCTTAGTCTGTGGCTTGCCTCTGGCATCTTCCTCTCTCTCCTTCTTGTGCCTAGAGTTCTCCTGCTTATTCTCTCTGCCTGCCAGCCTCAGTTATCCTTTCTCATTAGCCTGTCAGCTTTTTGTTAGAATCAGGTGCCTGCTGTAGGGAAGGTGAAACAGATGCAAGACATCCTTACATCATAAACAAATGTGGCGTAAACAAATGTAACACATCTCTACATGGTTAAAGGAATATTCTGCAGCATACACAAATGTAACACGTCTTTACACAGTTAAACTAATATCCCACAATGGAAAGATATGAGATCAAGAGTCTTGGGGCATTGAGAACTGTGTTCTGGTTTTCTGGAGCCAGCACCATCCTGCAGGGTGACCTTGGACAGGTCACATTGGTTGTCAGCTTTATAATGGTGGGCTGTTACCACTTCATGCTTCTTACTTTCCCTTGATGTCACAATGAATTCAGCAAACGCCTGCTCTGCGCCAGGTGTTGGGAATGCAGGGACAAAGTAGGGGACCAAGGTCTTCCAGCTGCATAATGTGCTGGGAAGACAGGAAGAACTATGAAAGTAAGTTTCAGTGTAAGGATGCATATGTGTGTGTATGTATGTGTATTTGTGTATATATACATGTATGTATATGTATGTGTGTATGTATATCTATGTGTATATGTGCATGTGTATGTATGTATATATGTGTGCTTAGGGATGCTATCTCAAGACAGTGGATAGACAAGGCCTCTCTGGTTAGGAATTCATTCACTACTTGAACTGTGTGTTCCTACAGAGGCTCATGTCTAATTCTAGTACAAAGCCATAGTCCAGGGAGAATGAGGTGTTTCTGCCCTCATGCGGAGGGGGAGATGGGCCCTGAACAAGCAGTTGGGAATGCAGGGGTATTGGCTGAGGCTGTGGGGGTACGAAGACCTGCATACTATACCAGAGGACATGGGGAGGTTGACACTTAAACCTAGTCCTGACAACCAACTGGCCTTGTGGAGAGAGAGGAGAGGAGCTGGCAGGAGATGCTCATGCATCAAGAGAATGTAGAAGCAGCTGGGTGAGCAAACAATACTGTGATACTTCTTAAACTGTTCTCATGTGGCGGCAGAGGGGGCGTTCCAAAAGGCGATAACTAGGTAAGTAAAAATTGGATATTGATGAGCCAAAACTTGTATAATCCACATAGATGCTTGTGATTAACTACAGCCTAACACTTACTTCTAAGACACTGTTTTCACAATTACATTACTTTATGATTTATGATCTGAGGGTCAGTTTCATTTCTTAAACACCCTTCACGATGAAAGCATTTCCACTGTGACTTTCAAGTCCCTAAGAATGGCTGGCGCTCTGTTTCTGTGACTTCAGGGCCTGCCACACCACACGACCACCGTACTTTGGTGAAGGGGATCGAGTTGATTATCACTTCATCTCTCAAGAAGTTTTTGATGAAATGCTCAACATGGTAAGGCTGCTCCCTGCTATTTTCTTTTTATCAGAGAAGAGATACATGTTCTCTGTCAGAAATACGAGGAGGCTGTGATTTCTAAAAAGATAAAGATGAAATGCTGTGCACTTTGGAAATTTGGTTCAATTTGAAAGTTTTCTACACCCTGTTGGGCTCATCTGGAGGGTGGTGCAAATCCCCTTGGCTTTACATGCATTTTCTTAAACAACATTTCTTCTTTCCTTTTACACGGAAGCGAATCCTCACAGGGAATGCGTTTCACCAGTTGTAAGTATACGTGAATGCAGCACGTACCTGCCTCGACTGCATTACTCTGAAAGGGCATCTCTGGGCACCAAACTCCTAGCAACTCTGTGCCTCTTGCTTTTTCTTCACACGAACCTTACTTTTGTTTCCACCACGGTGTCCTTCCTTCTGTTACCAAGTGAAGCTTGCACCGCTTCATACTCTTATGAAGCTTACTGAAGACCGGTCTTTCTTTGTGCCACGAGCGGTCAGCTACCTTTCTTCACCCTCTTTTCTCTTCTTCCTCCCTTCTCTGTCTGTCTGTACCCTAAAACAACAGACCTGGCTAAGCCTCCAGTGTGCACATTATCAGGGGGCATCTAGGCTTGGGCAGTACAATTACATTAGCTGAGTTTTGAACAACCAACTCTACTGTGGTGTGTGTGCTCAGGGCTCAGCTTGTACTCACAGAAATGCAAGTGAACAAGTTCTGTACTCCCTAGGCTGCTCTCCCTGCAGCTCTGTCAAAAGAATGTCTTGCACATCAGATGCCTTCTCATAGAACTGTCTTGGTTTATTAAGAGTTTTCTGAAACTTCATATTTCTTTATTTTTTTCTCTTTACATTTTTTTTTTTTTTGAGGCAGGGTTTCTATGTGTTGCTTTGGAGCCAGTCCTGGAACTAGCTCTTGTAGACCAGGCTGACCTCAAACTCACAGAGATCCACCTGTATCTGCTTCCCGAGTGCTGGGATTAAAGGCATGCGCTACCACCGCCTGGCCTGAAACTTTATATTTCTAAACGCCTTTAAAAGAGATTTGAGATTTGCCTTCACAGTACTGAGAAGCCCTCTCCCTCTCACCATGAATGTTAGTTTCTGCTCGAGTGGGGCATTTTCTCCGGGAGTTCGGTCTTTCTGTTCTCCAGATGCACCCCCTGCTCTCTGGTGTTCATAGCTTATTGGGTCTGTAGTCGAGTTAGTCTGGTTCAGTCCCCAACCTACGAAATCACCGCACTTCTAGGCTCTAGTTAGCTTTACAGTTTAATGCGCCACAGAAATCCCCTGTATTTAGGAACTCACTTTTCCTCTCTCTGCCAACATGCATTACTTTGATGTGGTTTCCATCAACTTTGAGTTTCACCCCCAATCTCCTTTTCTTTAGAGTGTGGCCCTGTTACATGAAGAGAGCTAAGTCTAGAGAGTCGTAGATTCAGGACACATTGTCAGCCTTCTGATCATGCCCACACTGTCGGCCTCCTGCACATGGAACACCCCTCCACACACCACCTGCCCAGACAGTCTGGCTCTTGTGATAGACACTCTGGCCTGGGCACTCCACACACCGACTGTGAGCAGCCACACCTAGCTGCTAGCTGGATAAAGCATATGAACCTCCACCCTCTCCCGTGTTCACGCGTCTTTTCAGCCAACACTTCCTCCAACCCACAGACCATTCTCCTACCCATCCACAGATAGCTACATCCGCCCTTTCTAGAGGAACCATGCTTAGTCATTTCCCTACAGAAGCACTCTCTCTCCTGTGGAAATGGAACCCCTGGAGACTTTGGTTGTGTGGCCATTGATACTTAACTAGGAAACCCTCACGCACTAGGAAATGAAGGGAGTGGGACCAGCCAGAGCTGGGGGAGCTACATCATCTCAATGCTTAACAAATCAGTTGAATGGGATATCTTTTATATTATATGCACAATACAAGGTCTCTTCCAACCATGCATGCTTCCAGAAAGTGTTTATGAGGCCTGTAGAGGAAGTAAACAAACATTTATCTGAAAAATTATTCAGATATGCATGCACATACAAACAGGGCTCACAATAGAATACTAAGAATTCTCCAGAGAAACAGAACCAGTAAATAGTCTCTCTGTGTATGTGTGTATATGTGTGTGTCTATGTGTATATATTTATGTATGTATATATACGTATACACTTATACATACATATACACACATACACTCATAAGTATATACACACATGCAGATTGGTCTGGAAGATGTATCACATGGATGTGGATATTGACAAACCAGAACTTTCTGTGTGTGGGGGCAGCATGGAGACTTAGAGGTCCAGCAGTGAAGGTGCTTACTTACCTTTCTGTTCTGTACAAACCTTAGAGGAACTGGGTGCAGTCCACCCACACTTCAGGGCAGTGTGCTTCTTCTAAGTTCACCAGTGTCACTGTTAATCTCACCCAGAAATATTCCCCAAGTTGACCCACAAACTTAACCATCACTGGTGGTAAATAAGCAAGCACATGAAAGATAAGCCATAGCCACGTTGTCTCCATTCATAGGTGTACATATTTAAATGCACACATACGTATGGGAAGGGATCAGAACATTTGTTTGATGGAGGAAGGTCATTGGTTAATTAAATAAAGAAACTGCTTGCCCTGATAGGTTAGAACATAGGTGGGTGGAATAAACAGAACAGAATGCTGGGAGGAAGAGGAAGTGAGCTCAGAGACGCCATGCTCCCCTCTCCCGGGCAGACGCGATAGCTCTGCTCTCCGAGGCACACGCGATGAAGCTCTGACCCAGGATGGAAGTAGGTTAAGATCTTCCCTGGTAAGCCACCTCGTGGGCTACACAATTATTAGAAATGGACTAGTCCAGGTGCAAGAGTTAGCCGAGAAGAGGCTAGATATAATGGGCCAAGCAGTATTTAAAAGAATACAATTTGTGTGTTGTTATTTTGGGGCATAAGCTAGCAAGCGGCCAGGGTGCTGGGGATGCAGCTCCACCGCTCCTATTACAACATTTGTTTCCAAAGAAGAAAGAGATTGTGGCATCGAAAGAGTAAAAGATTGAGGGTATATGTTGTTGGGTGTTTAACTTTGATTATAATGGTTTTCCTCATTACCCCAGCACACATAGTCCCCAAAAACCCATCCAGCCTCAAAAGGCACCCTGCGTCTCCTGCCTAACCCTCTCTGGCACACAGCCAGGTTGTCATCTATACATATCTCCAGAACATCTGGAGCCAGGAGGGTAGCAAGAAGCTCCGATGCTGCTGCTGCTGCTGCTGCTGCTGCTGCTGCTGCTGCTGCTGCTGTTAATGACGACAGTATTAGACTCCTGACTGCTTGCTATTTTTAATGAGGCACCAGCCATTTAACAAGGTTGGATGCATCCCTGAACGTTATTTATTTTAAAGCCGTGCGTTTCAGAAGGCACACTTACCAAGGTCACACATTCTTATTTTTTCTGCTGTCACCAGCTCCCCAGTTTCGAATAGGCCTAATGATTTAATAAATAGTCAAAGGAAAAGTCACAATTTGAAGGGTATATTTTTACCTGCATTTTCTTCTCTTTTTCTTTTGCAAGGGAATGCAGCTGTCATAGGAAATGGGGCTCCAGAATACACAGAGAGGGTGGTATTTAGAGATAAATGACTACAGGGCGCAGCCATTCTGTTGACTAACATTTGGGGCAGTTTCAATCAAAAGTCGTCTTTAGGAGGAAAACCAGGCTGGGTCTACTTTTCCAAGCTTTTAGGATGCCCACAGCCTTCAGGATTACCTGTTCCTTGTGGCTTATCTTTAAATGCAAGGAGTTTAGGATCAGGGTCCTTTCTGAGAAGCCTGGGATGCTGGCATAGCCGCAAGGGACAGGGAAAGGCATTAGTTTTACTCCCTTGACAGTGAAGGTTTGTGGTGTGGATCTGGCAGGAAATAGGTAAGCAATTATCATGGTCTGTCTTACCAGAAGCTTCCACTCATAACTTTCCTCAGACATTTTGTCAATAGATTATTTCAATAAACCTTATTTTCATCGGGAAGAATTCTGAGTAGCCCCCATCAGAGTTTGGTGGTGTCCCACCATCCGTTGCCGTTGTGACGTTCTGTACTTCCTAACACTTTAGTTTGTGTGGAATTAGGTGAAAGTAAGACATCAAGTGATTTTATCATTGCATTACAGCACCTGCTATGTGCAAATCTTTGTACTTTTCTAATTCCAGGGGAAATTTATCCTAACATTTAGTTACGGTAACCACAATTATGGATTAAATAGGGACACTGTAGAAGGTATTGCAAGAGATGGACTAGCAAGCTGCATTCATATGGAAATAGAAGTAAGTATTCTTCATTGAGCTGTGAGTACCTGTGCTCGTGTGTGTGTGTGTGTGTGTGTGTGTGTGTGTGTGTGTGTGTGTGTGTGGCATGTCAAGTTGGGGCTACAATATCTGGATAACATACTGCTGGGCACAAGAGAGATGCTACAGAGGCATGAAGTATTAAATTTATCGTCAGTGTGGGAGGGAAGATCTATGAAAGTCCAGTGACATTTAGGTCATAGCTTCATTCAAGACTTACTGTCTCTTCCTCACTAACGCATCCCTCTGCTGTTGCAGCGTGCCTTCATTTATATGGAGTGGGTACAGGCGTGGGTGGTTCCTCTCCACTCGGGACTGTGTCAGCCTGAGTGGTCACTCTGTTCCTTCATTCTTCACAGGGGCAGCGTGGGTGGGCGGTGCTGTCATTTGGCACTGGTTGTTCACTGGATGCAATGTTTTTATACTTCTGCAAACTCGACTTATGGATTTCAGATTTTTGTCCCCCTTCTCAAATTAGAATGTATAGACATTTTTTCAAAATCTGAACCCATGAATTTCCTACCTTCTTGTCTGACAAATGAACATGTAACTCAGCCAAACAAATCAGGTCTTCAGTGATTGCTGATTTTTTTTTAAAAAAAATAATTTTACTAAGCAATATAAATCTTATGATCAGACAAAATAAATTAATTAAAACAATCATAAAATAAAACTTCACAAGGCGGTTCTTTCCTGTTGACTGAATGTTAGCTTCATCTTCCTTTGTAACACCAGAGGAGGCCCCTTTTGGCGTCTAGTATTGGTTAACTGCTCCCTATCTTTATTGAAGCTGGGCATACTTGTATCCACTCTTTAACTTCCTGTATCATTATCCATTCTTTTTGCAGTTGACTGGTCCTGTACCTTTAAGAAAAGTCTTCTTTACTCTTAAAAAAAAAATCGGTTCTAAAAAATGTCTGCCTTGGACAGAGGAAACAAAAACTAATGCATGTTTGAGCATAGCAGCGCTCCTTCTTATTGTGTCCACCTTTTTCCAGTGCGACAGTTTCCTGAGTGACAGCTCCTGCTTCCCTTTCTTTTCCTCCTGAGAGCTTACCACTCCTCGTCTCCAGGAGGTCAAATCTATAAACTGTTTTGTTTCCCTGCTTCTCCCCAGCTGAGGTATTTTTTTCCCAGACTGCCCTTGTCACCGAGTTTTTCAGACACTGTTTTAAAAGCAACCTGTATTTCTTCCCACTGAATCGTTAAAGCAGAAATTTTGAACTTGAGTTAAACCGATGACGCTAGAACTGAGATGGAAGGGACTTCATAGTCCACTTGGAACAACTCTTCCACGTCACCCAACGAGGAAATTTATGCCCAGAGAGTTTGAGGGATGTGTGCAGAGTCCTTAGGATCTACAAAGTTGAAGTCACAGCCCAGAGCTCCCAGTTTGCAGGCCATACCATGTCACTCTGTGGCCATCTGGTAGCAGGCTGTGCTGACTCTGGTCTCTGCCCTCCAGAAAGAGGCTAGAAGACGTGGAACCACAATGGTGTTGGCGGTTATTCCAACCAGTCTTTAAATTTTGCAACTACAATGGAAGTGTTGGAGGCAGAAGCTCTGGCCCTAGAAAAGGGAGGCTAATACTTTGACAAACCATAAAAGCAAGGTAGCCTTGGTGGTTCTAGCAGCAGCAGCAGCAGTAGCTATGGTAGTATCAGGAGAGTCTCTGGACTCAGCCAAGTACAGTGGTAGCAAGGTCTGATCATGGTGCTAAAGCGTTCTCTCTCTTTCTCTCTCTCTCTCTCTCTCTCTCTCTCTCTCTCTCTCTCTCTCTCTCGTATGTATGTATGTATGTGTGTATGTACGTATGTATGTATGCCTTTTTGAGTTGCTGACTTAGAAACAAGAATGGTATCAAAGTGATGGATGGCAGAGGAGTACCAGGGGAGCCTTTATCCCTGGGAAGATCTCTATCTTCTATTGCTTCAAGATGCCTATTGAAATATGGAATTGAATTACTTTTTGATAATAACATGGCGGTACTGCCATGAATATCCCCATTTTATGTCTGGCAATTTTCTTTTCTAACAGCCATATTCATTAGAGCAATTAACTTGAGGACAACCAGGTGGAATGAGTTGTAATGGTTCCTACCATAATTTAATATTTGATGAAGGAAGGAAAGTAATCCAACCTTGGAATATCGATAGGAAAATAGCAGCTGATCCTACAGATAAAATGTGTTCTTCGGTGTGATTCTGTGTGCGCCCTCTGAGTTGTCACGTTCCGCAGTGATGTCCCCAGAGGGGAGCTGCTTCTCAGTCGCCTCTTCTCTTCTTTCCCAGGGCGTAAGAAGTTTGAAATATTCTTATTTCGAGCCTCGCTATATCTTGGTGGTGCCCATGGACAAGGAAAAATACGAAGGATACTTGCGGAGAAAGGGATTGTTTAGTCGAGCAGAAATTGACTTCGCCGTCTCCAGGGTGGACCTTTACATTAAAATTAATCAGAAATTTCCAGGATATTTCGATGCAGTGATCAATGCAGGTCAGTAATGCCCGGCAGATTTTTATTTATTTTTTTAATATGCTTTCTTGTTTGAAGTATATAATCACTGCACTTCCAATTTATGTCCTGGAAAGAAAAGTCTTAGGAAACATAGATATTTATTGTAATTAGAAGCTGCAAAAAGCTGCAGAAGCGGGTAAGAACCTGTGAGCTCTCATCTCCCACAGTTTCCATCAGAAGGTTAAATCGTGTTGGTCCATAAAGTTGTGACTAATAAAGTTGGTATAAAATAGTCCCACATAGATTCCTCCCCCTGGGGACACTGTGATACTGAAGATGGATAATATCTCATTTAAAATATATGTTTGAGCTTCTAAAGGCATATGAAGCTCACATAATTCTATCATAATCTATTTATACAAAGAAATACAACTTCTGAAAATATTGGAAATTTGAAAGTATCTGAGTAAAACAAACATTTTTAAAAACTACCTCAGAATAAAGCATGCTATTTTTTTTTAGCCCAGATATTTTCCAGTTTTATCACCACAGAGAAATAATGAGTGTTTGAGGTAAAGGATATGATAATTACCCACATGTATATATGTGTTGTGTTTCATAAGTGTGTGCAATTATGTAGATTCAAATTTTATCATATAAACCAGATAGTGGTGGTGCACGCCTTTACTCCCAGCACTTGGGAGGCAAGGCAGGTCAAAACAAAACAAAAATTATTAAATAAAAAAAGGCTACTTGATTTGGAACAGAAGCCAAAGAGAGGAAGATAGAGAAATTATTGAAATATGAACTTTCTGTCTTAATTATACGGTCTCGCATCTGTGAAGGGATGGTAAATGCTGCGTATAGATGAGAAGATACGAGGAGCGAGGAGATGGCTCCGCAGGTCACACCACCTGCTGCCAGACCAGTTCACTCTCTCAGACTCATGTGGTGGGAGGAGAGAACTGGCTTTTAGGGGCGGCGTGTTTGAGACAGGGTTTCTCCATGTAGCCCTGGCTGTCCTGGAACTCACTCCGCAAAGAGGGATCTGTGCTGGGATTAAAGGCGTGCACCACTGCTGCCCTCTTCTACCACAAAGAGCGCATTGAATCCTCTCTGTGCTTTGAGCCTCTGACTTCTATTCTGTCGTGGACTAGACAGATCTATCCTTCTGTGGCTATGATTTGAGGGAAGCCCCCTTCACGGTAGCCTGCAACACTTGTGCTGTTAGTAACCTTAATTATACCTGCACATCCCTTTTATATATGACGTAATGTAATCACGGGCACGAACCCTCTTCATCTCCATGGGTTCTACCCACACGCGCGGAGTGGAGACTACAGGAGAGGGAAGTGTCATAGGCTCATCTAGAATGGTACCTGTGACAGCAGTAATAAAATGGGGTGCAGTTAGCAAACCAGTTCGCTCGCCATTGAACGCTGACTGTGTTTGGACATGATCCTGGTATATTAAGATGTTTTCTTGTTTGTTGTAGATGATCTGGACATTGCCTACAAACAGCTAAGTGAGCTCATTCGAGAATACCTGGGATTGACCAAGGAAGTCACTAAGGGTTTGGCTCCAACCGCAGGTACCAGCCAGTCTCCTCTGTATCAAGTTTATTCTCTGTTGTTGCTTGAGTATTCATTAGCTCGGCTAAAGCTGGTTTGCACTACTTACTTCCTGCATTTTTTCTGGGGTGTAGGAATCAGCCCTTTGGGTGTGTCTCTATGCCTGTAGTGGGACACTCCCCCACCCCCAGGGAGACACTAGGCAGTGCCTTGGACATGGACAATAGAGAAGAGTTGGTCTCATGCTCAGAACTCAAAAGTTCTTCCAAACGTCTATTCCCTTATGGAACTAGAGTATCGGACCTATCAAGTATCTATTTAGTCTAACAATTTTAGTGTGAGAGTTTTCTTACTCTTTATCTTTGGACTGCCAGTCCTGAAAAAGTTGCACTGCAGAGAACAGTGGGTACTCACTGGCCAGAACATGTGATGGAGTGGGGGGGCTAGCCCTACTGCTCCCTTGGCTAAGCTGCCTAGCTGTTCCGGGCTTCAGCTTCTCCTCCTGAAGAATAGAAATCACACTTCCCTCCTGCCTTGTGGACCCTGAGCAGCAAATGCCAAGGGATGTGTGAGAGCCTTGACTTGGAATCTAGGCATTCTGAGCCTAGAATTTGGGGACATGACTATTCCGAGATGTATTTGAAATGTGTGCCCCATTCATAGTGGTGCCAACAGCTGACGCCCCCGGAGTCCAGGGATGGCTGAGTGGATGGAGGAGGCCTTGTATACAGTCATTGATGTTATTTCCTCTTTAAAAGGGAAGGAAATTTTGACATACGCTATTACATGAACCTCGAAGACAGTGTGGTGAATTAGAGGATCAGAGAGGAACAGATACCATATGGTTGTCTTCTATGAGGTATTTAGAGCAGTCAAACTCACAGTCAGAAAACAGAAATGGAGATCAGAGCCAAGTGGAGGATGGAGCATCGTTGTTGGATGGGTAGAGTTTAAGATTGCAGAAGATGGAATGAGCTCTGGAGATGAACAGTGACGGTGCCACAGCAATGTCAGTGACTTAACGCATTGAATAATACTCGCTACACGGGGGGAAGATGGCAAACTGTCTGTACCGCTACCACAACAGGGATCTTTCCTAAAGGTCCTTCCAGAGCAGAACTGCAGTCACACAGACGTATTTGCAGCGTGGTGGTTCCCCCTAGGATCCTGTTTGCCTGGTGGCGCTCTGACAGACTGTGCGGTTCTGAGCACTCTTCTTAGGTCGCTTAGTCCTTGCATTTTGGGCTGAGGTCAGCGCAGCACCAGTAAACTCACGGTTATTAGCAGACTTTCCTGCCGTGAGTGTCTCGCGTGTTAAAGGAACTAAGGGACGGCATGGCAAACAGAAAATACTTGAAGTAAGCCTGGTCTATCAAATAGGCTTCACTGCAGTGCGCCTAGTGCGGTTTGAACCTCATGGAGCTTTCTCTTGAGGAAACAGGGCTCTCTTTGCTTTAATTCTTTGCTATCCAAGCAACCCTGTGATGTTTAAGTTAGTCTCCTGGGTGGCCCTGGCCCCCGTGGGGGCTGTACCTTACGTGAGAGCACACTCCCCTGCTCCCTGTACCCGAGCCATGTCCCACTGTAAATTAATAAATTGGTGTGCTGGCTTTTACATCACCCTCTTGTGAATTTGAATAAACACCAAGTCCCCCGAGTAACTGAAAAATGGTCCTGATCTGCATGGTGCTTCTGAACAGAGGAGCAGTGAGCAAGGCCTCGCACAGCTGTTCTGTAGCTCTTCCATTTCTACAGTGATCAGGACCCTGACTACAGCATGCAGTTACTATTTGGCAAATTAAGAGGCAAGATAATGTGTGCACAGGACAATAGACTCCCGCTTTAAAGCATATAATAAAATCTTACTTATTTGGAATAATTAGGTTAGGCTTATCTGATTTAATGAAAGGTATAAATTATAGAATTTATAAAAATGTCACAACTCTCAGAAACACTTACTAATCGAAACCAAAGCATCCGGTTATTGAATAATGGAATTCTAGCTTGCAAAGTAGACAGGATGGATTGCAATCAATCATCAGATCTATATCCTCAACAAAACCTGATTTTCTGAAAGGTTTAATATTCTGAAACAGACCGTGTTTTCTTAAGGCAAAAACCTTATCTCATGTTTACAGTTAATTTGCAGAGGGAGTTATTTTTTCAGCTGATAATTAAAGATAAACTTCCCCTTCAGTGACAGTGCACACATCAGACAGTCAGTATTCAAGGGAGGATATCTGAAATGCTAATGAATAGAGTCCTTATTAATAAGCTTTTAGGGTATCTCTGGTGCCCCCAAGGAGCCAAGCCAATGGCTTCTGTGAATGCCAGGACTGTGAACTCCTTGCCAAGGGTGAGGGTCACCTGGCTATAGGGTCAATACAGACGAGTGGGGCCTGTTCTCGTTTCGTTTCTGCTGCTGTGGTTAATTGCCCTGACAAAGAAGCAATTGGGAAAAAGAGTCTCACAATTTCAGGCAATAGTCCATCACTGTGCAAGTCCAGGTGACACAGTCCATCACTGTGCAAGTCCAGGTGACACAGTCCATCACTGTGCAAGTCCAGGTGACACAGTCCGTCACTGTGCAAGTCCAGGTGACACAGTCCGTCACTGTGCAATTCCAGGTGACACAGTCCGTCACTGTGCAAGTCCAGGTGACACAGTCCGTCACTGTGCAAGTCCAGGTGACACAGTCCGTCACTGTACAAGTCCAGGCAGCAGCCACTTCAAGCATCTCGTCACAGCACATCTACTGCCAAGAGCAGAGAGAAATGGATGAGTGTGCCTCGCTTGCTTGCTAGTCCTAAGCTTGATTCCTCTGTTCTTACATAGCTCAGGAACCCCTGCCTAGAGAATGGGGCGCCCACAGTGAGCTGCTGAGTTTTCTCACACAGTTAACATGCAGTCCCTCACAGACATGCCCACAGGTCAACCCAATATATACAATTCTTCACTGAGACTTTCTTCCCAGGAGAGTCTAGGGTCTGTGTCTTGTTGACAAAAATAATCATCATGGGGCACAGACTTAATTGCCCCCCCCAAAACTGTAAAGACTCCGTGAAAAGGGGGCAGAAGTACTATCCTCGGCCTAGTTGGGGCCTTGCCTCTTTACCTCTATTCTGAGGTGAGTTGTTCTGATCTCTTTTCTATGGCATATATGTCATATATATTCATTTGATATATGTTCATATATATATTCATATATATATTCACACACACACATATATATACATATACATATATATATATATCCTAAAAACTAAAACAAACATCTTAGTATAGGGGACTTAAAAAAATAATTAAAATGTCAAAAGAGAGAAAGTGAAATAAATATTTACAATTATATGAGAGGTTAGTCTGAACAATTGCATAACTGACTGGATGGGTATCTGAAGCCTTACTTTTCTGTCTTAAATCTATGAATTTGCAAAATCATCTTTTTCTTAAAACATAAAAGAAAACTGTATGCATCATTGTAGCGCGTTACTGAAGTCGGGCTTGGAGAGCTGAGGCTTTCCCCAGCTGGATTACGGGTATCTGTGTGTTGAGCTTCAGTACAAACAGACATCTTATGCCCATGGCACCATCTTTCCAAAAGAGATAGTCCCATGCCAGTGCAGCCTAAAGACAATTCCCAAATATTTGGAGTAATAATATACGGCTTCATCCCTGGGAATCATAAGCTGCTCGCCTGTCACTGGGAATACAGTGATAATGTCCAGGTCACAATGAGGATGCAGACAGTGAGAGAAAACCCAAGAGCTGTGTGCTCCGAGGACAGCATCCACCACCTAAGCTTAGAGCTGTGAACCTTCACCAGGATGGGCTAGCTGAATTATCACCGAATGCATGCATTACTAGCTTCAGGTATTTAGTGCAGAGAAGCTCCTACGACTTTAAATGCACCATTAATCTTAAATGCAGACCAGTTAAGTGTGAAACTGTCCAGTTTTTCCCCAGGGTAATGTAGGAAATATTTGTTTCTAAAGCATGGAGTTAAAAATATAGTTTCTATGAAGTAAGGAGACGCTCACTCATTGGCAGCTCGGTGCAAGGGTTTGCTCACCCTCCGTCTCTATAGAGCAGTGGTTCTCGGCCTTCCTAAAGCTGCGACCCTTTAATATACAGCTACTCATAAAATTATTTTCATTGCTGCTCCATAACTGTAATTTGCTACTGTTATTAATCATAATGTAAACAGCTGTGTGTTTCCGTGGTCTTAGGCCAGCCCATGGAAAAGGGTCATTTGACAAAAGGGGGCGCGACCCACAGGCTGAGAAGTGCTGCTTTAGCTCCCGCTTCCCGGCCTGCCACTGCTTCCAGCGAGCCTTTAAGGCAGGGGAGCTAATGAGCAGTCTGAGCTCTTGCCATAAAGGTTATGAAATGAAATTATATTTTTCCTATTTCTGATTAATGATAAAGGGAAAAATGGAGCAATTTGCCAGTCCATAAAATGGCGCTTTTATCTTCTAATAAAGGGCATGGTGTCAGTTAACCAAATTTTCTAAATCGTTAAATCATCAAAGTAGAAAAAGAAAACCTGTGTGTCTGCCCATGAATGTAAAAGGAGAGAGAGAACCTTCAGCGCCGGGTGTCATTGGCCTTTTGCTTTGCTTCGTAAGTCGTTTACATGTCTTGCATGCATCGTGTAAGCATACATAATTTGCCATTTTTTATCCTTTAGAACTTTTTGCGTTTATTTCCGTGTGTGTGTGTGTGTGTGCATGTGTGTGCCACAGCATGTGCATGAAGGCAAAAGGACAACTTGTGGGAACTGATTGTCCCCTCCACCACGTGGGTTCCAGGGATCAAACTTGGGTCATTGATCTTGGCTGCAGGAGCTTTAACCACTGGACCGTCTTGCCAGCCCCAGTTTGCCATTTTAATTACGTTAAGTGTAAACTTCAGTGCCATTAACTACATTCTCAGTGTTGTGTAACCATCACTACCACCGATTTCCAAAGCTTTTCGCTGTTTAAAAAAGAAACTCTAGGGGCTGGGGAAGATGGCTCAGTGGTTAAGAACACTGACTGCCCTTCCAGAGGACCTGGGTTCAATTCCCAGCACCTGCATGACAGCTCACAACTGTCTGTAACTACAAGATCTGACACTGTCCCACAGACATGCATGTAGGCAAAACACCAATGCAAATAAAATAAAAATAAATTATTGAGAAAAACAAAACAAAGTCTATACTCAGTAGCCATCCCCTACCCCTGGCAACCTCTGACCTACTTTCTAGTCTCTGCAAATTTACCTGTTTAGTTTGACTTTTAAATTTAACCTTGTATCTTGTCTAAAGTTGTGTTTTAGTTTGTATCTGTGGTAAATTTGGTGATAAAAAAAGATGAACAGAGGGTGGCATTAGAAGCCTCACGGAGGAGGCGTTCCACTCTTGTCCTCTTCCACTTTCAGGAGACGTCGAGTTTGACTGGGTACAAAAGAGGACCTGACTAGAAGGCTCATTGTGAATCTAGAGTAGCACACACCCACCCCTCTTTAGTGGGGGGGACAGTGGTCAGGGACACATTTACTGCTGGAGATGGACCACTCTGGGGCCACCAAAGTCTCCCCCAAGTTGAACTCGGAGTAGTTTCTTCAAGGTTGCTCCAGACTGATGCATCACGTCTGACCACTGCAGGGTTCAGAGCTATGCCGTCTGGTCTGTTGTTTAGGTCACCAGAAGCACGTCAAGGCTTCTATCATTTATACATGAGTGCCAGATGGGGTGACTGTGTCCAGGACACCAGAGAACTCTAAGAAGATGTGACTGGGGGAAACAGGCCCTCTCTATAGAACCAGTATTGCCAGTAGCGTCTGGGAGCCATTTCAGGAGCCAGGGAGATCTGGGTGATGGTGACCTTGAGGACAGCAGCGTGGACCCTCGATCTTCAGGAGCAGACTCTGGTGTCTTAGGTCATCCTTGAACCTATGCCTTCCTTCTTCCATTCCTTTCCCACTGAGCTTTTGCTGGACGCTGAGCCTCAGGGGTGTTAGTAAAGAGACAGGACTGCTCTCAGTGGTCACAGCTTACATCTTAACTGTTAACCAGCAAAACCAGTCTCATTTATCTGGAAACTCTCTTTACCACCCACAGATCCAAACTCGGTTTCGAGCAAACATCTGAATGCTTATTCATTAATGTTCGCTAGAAATGGTCCTAACGTCTTTCAGAGAACTGTAGTCACTTAGTCTCCACAAGCAGAAGGGAAGTCCTACCTGTGCCTTTCTTTTAAAGGTCTTTTGTGCGACCCCAAGGGAAATGGAATTTTTTTTGTTGTTTTATTTCTGGCAGTAAAGAGTCTTTGTGGCTAACTCTCTTTATATTAAAGCAGGGGCTCCCTCTAACAAGAAGACCATCTCTGGGGTCCCGGCACATCTGGTCCCCTCCCCCAGGCGCTTGGCAAGACTGCAAGCAGACGGCCAAAACTCAGAGGCTCTCCTGGAAGTGCAGACTCTTGCAACGACCTCTGAAAGTCAGAACCCAGCTCCCTCAAAGGGCCAAGAGTTAACTGAGGAGGGAGAACCCCCTAAGAAGGACCCTTCTCCTAGCAGCCACCTGGATCCCCTTCAGGAGGTCAGTTCTTCAACCCTTGCTATTCCTCAGGAAGCCCAAGACATACCACCAAAGGAGAAGGAAGGGGATGGCCAGCCAGCCGACCTTCCTCCGAAGATAACTACTGAGATGGAAGGCTCTGAAGATGAGCCTAGACCACCTGAGATAGAAGCAGGACAGTCTTCTACTGTTGCATCTCAAGAGCCATCACAGCATCCTGACCCCTCCCCCCGACTCAGACCTCAGTCAGACCAGGATAAGGAATCTGGAGAGCTCAAAGGAGCCCCTAGCAACCCACCCCTCTCTGAATCTTCACAGGGACCTGACCCAGCTTCTGTGCAGGATAAGGGAACTGAGCCAACCAACCCTGTGCCCAGCAGTTCCGCTTCTGTGCAGGATAAGGGAACTGAGCCAACCAACCCTGTGCCCAGCAGTTCCGCTCACAGTGCTTCAGAAGATCCTACCCCCTCTGATGTGGTGAAGCCCGCTGGGGGCTCTCAACCACCTCCGAAGGAAGGAACCTCCAAAGCAGAAGTTCCCCGGGCTGGTACTCCTTACCCAGAAATTCCCCCTCCCCAGGACTCATCCACAAACTCAAAACATACCCAGGTCAGGGAACAGCCAGTGACTTTGCTCCCTAGAAGCCGGCTGGCTCCTACCAGGCTGCCCCAGCCCCAGACCCTGGCTCCTCTCCAGAGCAGAAGACCCACACCCAAGCTTCTCTCTCCCAGCAGGGAAGAGGCTTTGGGGACGAGCTCAGATCAGACCCCAGCTCCATCTCCAAGGTCTCTTCCAACTCAGGATGGAGACCCCAGTAAGCTTCCTCCCATCAGCCCTCCCCAGTCCAAACCACCCCCAAACCCAAGCCCTGACACAGCCCACAGTCCACAGCAAGCCCACTTTGGGAAAGGCAGTGAGATGAAGCTCCCACTTATCAGCCCGCAGGAACAAGCCCAGCGGCACTCCCCCAATCCTCCCCAGGAAGAGGAAGCACCCAAAGTCCGCCTCCCTCATATTCCTGCTCCCTCTGTAGAACCTCAGCCGCCTCAGAACACCTGGCCAAGGTCTACTTCGAAGCCTGCAAAAGAGAGAAAGACTCTTAAAGTAGGTCATGCCTCCGGCAAGAAGATTCCAGATCTGCAGGCCTCAACTCACAGCCAGGAGGCTGCTAAGCAGAAAGACGCTAGGAAAAAAAACCTCAGGCAGAGAGAGATAGCTAAAGGGCCGCCACACCCAAGAAAGATGCCAGCCGGAAAGTCTCAGACTAACCAGCAGTCAGAGTCCCATAGTAAGCCAACTCCTAGGAATGTGTCTGACCCACTTGCCACCATGTCCCCTCTGAGCCACGCTGAAGCAATGCCAGCAGACCCCCAGAACCAGGAGGAGAAAACCCACAAAGCCCATAATTCCAGAAAGAAGGACCTGGCTCAGTCTGTAGGTGCATCCCATAACCCAGTAACGTCTGAAGGGGTAGCTCAAGAAAATGAGATGGCCTTCGGTGAGAATCAGCCAACCGGAGAAGGTCAACCCCCGCAGCCCACCGCCAAGTTGGCACAGGAGGGTTCTGCTCCTGCGGTGCATCGTGGGGGAAGAGAACAGGCTCAAAAGAAGGAAAGGTCTCAGAAGAGAGAGGTGGTGGGGAAACCTCCAGAGCAGGAGACTGCAGCCCCTAGCCAGCCACGGGCCAAAGAGACACAAGCCCACAGAGACACCAGTGAGCTCAGACAGGGCTACGCCCAGAGGCACAATATCCTTATGTCTAAGCAGCAACCCAAAGAAAAACGAACTCGAAAAAATGGGGCTGTGCCAGAGAACAGAAGCCCTGCTGCTGCCCCCCAGAATCAGGTGTTAGAGGAGGAGCAGGGCAGCCGGACAGGAAGACTGCGAGCCAGGGGCAGCCAGAGCATCAAAGTTTAAGCCTTGGTTCCTGAGAAGCTGTGAGGTCTGGTGCTGTCGGGCTTGGAGATGCACCAAGATGTGCTGGTTTCCTTCTGCCTCCACCAGTCAACGCCTTGCCTGGGGTGGGAGGTCTCAGAAGCCTTTGTAGCTCTGTTCCCCCTTGTGGCAGCAGCCTGGGGAGACAGCTGGTTTGTTGCTGGTGCCATCAAGGGGCTCTTATGAATTTCAGTAGCACTGATGGCTGAAGAAGGGCAGATTACCATAATGTTTTGTTTTCTTCATTAGGAAAACTCACTTCTAGGCTGGAAAATTTCTTCATGCTTTGTGCATTATTGGAGGGGCCTGCAGAAAAAAAAAAAGAACTGCAAAATGAAACCTTGCTGGTTTTTTTTTTTTTTTTTTTTTTTTTTTTTTTTTTTTTTTTTAGAGAGATTCCCAGCATGTGCACTTAACAGGTACTGGCTGGCCAAGCACTCGAGGTCTGAATTGGCATCTGTTTTGTTTGTACATTTCAAAACGAGTGTCTTCTTTCTGTCTTTGAATAGAACTCTCATGGTCCGTGTCTTCAGTGTGGCCAAAGCATCTGGTCGAATCACCTAAAAGAATGTGTGGGGAGGAAATTCAGGGGTATCGGTTTTTCATTCATCTCTCCATATTTATTGTTATGTTATACTTCTGGCAATGACTAAGGGATGGCCAAAGCCAGCCTATTGGAAATCTATTAGATGAAAGTATGTGGGAAGGGCCAGGGTGCAGCCGTCTCTCAAAGGCAAGGGGCCAGCTACTGATCATCACCAAGTTTCTTGTCATCTTCCCGACTAAGCAAGAGTCTAGACTGCCGTCACTTCTCACCTCTGCCATTCTCCACGAGATTCCAGTCCTTGAACTGCAAATGGTTGTATGTCATTCTCTCTGCATAGCAGGGACATCCCTGCCAACAGCCCTCAAGTTACATCTGATGGTATCTCTCACTACTGCTACAACGGAATTCATCTAAATCATCCTTAATCCTGAGGTTAAAAAGAACATCCAGAGAAGGCTGATTGCCCCGTTGGATCAAGCGTTCATTTAGAACAATCAGCTCTGGCCTGGGCATGGTTATCATGACCTATCACCCACTGGGTTCACTGCTCCATACAGAGACTATGTTTCCAGGGGGGATAATTGCAGTCAAGGCCATCAGTCCACGATTCTACTCTTTAAAAAAAAGTTAGAAGATGATCATTGAGTCCTTACTGTGTGTACAGGCAATGTATTGAAGCTGTCTGATATCCCATGTTTAGTATATAGCCAGTGACTAGTGCCTGTGTTTTATCTTATACAAAAGATACGTGCCCACAAACCTGTATGAATAGCAAAGATTATCTCAAGTGCAATAGAGGACACTGATAGTTTTAAAAATCAGCCATATAGGGAGTGAACAAGACTCTTCTCAGAACTATGGAATATTAGTAGTTATCCTCTGATTTATCTGCCTTCTCTAAGATAAAAGTTATAGGATGATTTTTAAGTAATTTCCAATTACTAAGTGAAGTCATCACCAAGAAGGCATTATTGAGCATTTTCTATGTACCAGACAAAGCAACGGTTGCTAGGTATAGCATAAGATGATGCCGGCACTTCAGGGAACTATGACAAAACAGCCCTTGACTGCACCATGTAATTGGGGTACCTGGAGATGCCAAAGCTGGCTTAGCTGTAGTTGGTATCCCACAGGTAAGAAAACATGATCATTTACTTTTTTAGATTGTTGTAAGAGCACTCCCTCTCAGAGTGCCCCACCTCCTAGAACTGCACCAGGAAACACTTCAGAGAGAAGCTCGCCCCTCAGCCGAGGCTTCAGGGCTGCAGAACTGGTCAGTAGACGGATGCAGGAGGAGATGCTTGCTGTTGCCTAAATGCACAGGCAGGGGCAGATAGTGTCTCCTTAGACCCAGCTGTCAGGGGAGGTCAAAGCCAGTTGGTAATTAGCTTGGCTGTGGAGAGGGTAGATTATGAACGACAGCAAGCAAAGAATTGCCCCCCCCTTCTTTGAGACCATCTCATTATGTAGCCCTAGCTGGACTAGAACTTGCTATGTAGATCAGATTGGCTTTGAACTCACAGGAATCTACCTGTCTCTGCCTCCTGAATGTTCAGATTAAACGTGTGCACTGTGATGCCCAGTATACCATTCATTTTCTATATTTGGAGATTGGGGTGCTTTGTGGGCCGGAGCCTCGCCTGGATTTGAGTTTTGGAACCATGTTGGGGTGTCCTCTTTGGCTGCTGTTTTGGAGACGTTTGGAGCTGCATTTTTCTTTAGTGTTTGAGTGAGACGCATTGCGCAGGCTTCCCTCTGCTGTGGAGGAGGCTCTAACCTCTGGAATTCACAATAAGACAGGGCTTTTTTTTTTTTCCTTTTTGGTTTTCTGTGGTTTGAAGTTTTATTCACTGCTGTTGGACATTTTGAAAGGACAGTGAAAGCCCGTTGTCTCTGGGAGAGGCTTTTACTGCTAGTATTGATTATCTTGCCACAAGGGAAAGCTTCATGTTTTCAAAGCAGAGCATAGATATATAAAGTGACCGCTTTCCCTCTACACTAACAGGCAAAGTTCACATTGCTTCCGCCTGGGGTTTATCACAAAGCAATCCTGAGAGAAAGAAAAAAAAAAAAGCCATGGTGGGCTTTAAAAGTCACCACGCTCATAATGTCACCTTCTTCTGGAAGTCTGGTGTTTAGCATTCAGTTCAACAGAGAGCGCTTCCACCAGCTGTAAGAGCCTTCTTCACGTATGTAAAGAGCCAAGCCCCCTAAAGATAGAGAAGGCACGATCAAGCAGCTCACAAAAGAGGAAGTAAAAATGTCCAATAAGCATGTCAAAAGGAATTTAACCTCACTGTAAGTTAAAGCAGAACAGACCTTTTGATACCAGATATAAAACAGATGAAGCTTTATTGCGTGAAGTGTTGGTGTCAACAGTGAGGAAGCAAATTGGCTTGCTTTTTCTGGGGAACAGTTTCCCACCCCATCAAAGAGTTACAATTTGCAGAACTTTAATCTGATCATTTAGATCCAAGAATTATGATGAGGAAAAGTACGCGAGAATGTTCATACCAAATTTTATAACGAAGGTTAGCAATACTCCACGTAATGGGAATTTTGAAATACATTTACAACACAGCCATCTGCTAGAGGCATCTGCCTGGTGTTGCCCTTATAATCCTGTAGACTCTTTACTTGGAAGATAGTGTTCATTACACAGAGGAGGAAAGGGGATTAAGGAGGCAGTCAGTGTGGCTCCTGTGTTGGCTACGGGACACTAGATTGAGACTAGTTTTCTTTTTTTGTTTATGTTTTTGGTATTTTCTACAAGTTCATGTTTATTCTAAAAAGGAAAACAGAGTTAACACATGTACACACACACACACACACACATACTTTGGAGAGCTGCCACGTCTATTTGGTCCATTCCAATTTGACGTAATAAAGGACTTTCTGAGAGTCAGATGGCTTGCAGAAAAACAGAGCAGCCTCCTCCAGACATGAAGGGCATCATCTTAAAATGGAACCTCTGTGTGTTGGGCGACTTCATAGAGTAGATGGAACCGAAGTTTCTCTTTCTGATTTATGGTCCACTTACAACAACTGGTCTCCTTGTTATGAAGAATCCAGCTGCCTTTTCCATTAAGTAGCATGCTTTTGTAGTAGGAATGGAGTGGTCCTTGTGTTCATTAGCTCACTGGCTTAAAACACTTTTGAGCAAGCTCCATAGGGAGAAGAGTACATTTCACAGTATCGCAGCCCAGGAAGCACATCCACATATAGGAAATAATTTTATGACACTTTTTCATAGATGATGTACTCACATTTTCTATGGTGCTGAGTTTAAATTTTCTAAATTCAGGTTGTAGCTCACTAAATCAGTTTTACAATGTAGTTTGCACTCTACTGAGCCTTCTGGATCTCGACTTTGTCCTGTTCCTAGGGCCTGCTTGCCAGGTCACCTACTTTCTCTATCTGCCTTCAGGTTGGTTGGATAGGCTAGCCTCAACTTACTCTGAATTCTTCTCTGAGAACAGGATCTGGTATATTGGCAGTTAAGTCTTTTGTTATTGGTTGGCCTTAGGCTGGATATTATCCAATCTTCCTATACATAGCTATAAGTTCTTTTATAAAGCTTACAAAACACTTTAAAACACGCTTGATCAGTGGTGATGCTCCCAGTAAGTCATTAGACAGCTCCCTTGCCCTTAGCTCCATGACAACCCCATAAATAGCACTGTTACAATTAAGGAGCCCCCAGATTCCCCTTGATGTCATTGAGGTGCTGATATAGTACCTAGCACAATATGTCTATAAGTGAGTTTACATGCATGGTAGGGTTTGAGAGACTAACTTTAGTAGTAACGTTTTCACATTGACTAGGCATCCTAAAAAGAGAGCAAATGCCAGTCCCTCTTTTGTGTGTTGATGGTAGGTACTGTTAGCAGAGTAGACCCATAACCTTAAAGCTGACTGTGGGATGGCCATCACAAGCAGCCAAGGCTGAGGGCCTTCTGTTAATGATAATAACATTAGAAAGTATCAATTACAAACAACAGTGAATGTCAAAATAATCTTTGGAAACTCAGTCTAGTCAGGAGTAAATAAAGGAGTATGCTAAAGAACCCAGAACAATGTCTGCCCCATGGCAAGTCAGTACCAAGATGAGCATTTGTTAGCCCTACCATGTAAACAGCCAAAAAATATTGCATTTGGTCATGAATTAGAATAGGAGAGCATGTCCTGTTTGAACTAGGTGGAAGTGTTTGTTAAATGAAATTGTCTTCTCTGGAAATCCCTTTATGACTTCAGCCATGGCTAAACTAAGGAGCTTAAACAAAATCATAACGACATTAAAAAGAAATGGTAGTTCAGTTTACTATCCCTAAGATCGAAGGCTCCTTCGCTGGGCATTCACAGGCTGCCTGTACCTGCAGAAGACAAGGAGAGGCATCAAAGCTGAGCTGGTGGTCAATTTCCTTCTGACACAAACATCAGCACTTAGGAGAGCAGCTGGCATGTAGTGCACACTCAGTAAATGCTATCTGTTCTTTTATTGTTGTGTATTCTACTGGGCATACAATACATGCTGCCACGTTCTGTGTAATAAACAGATACATTTATGTGTTTTCTCTTCGTGGTGGGTTGAGACGAAGTCTGTCTTTTACTTCTATATCTACCAACCTTTGTTTTTTTGAGAACAAAACTAAACATCCAAGTGAAGAAAAGCAGGAAAACCTTTGCTGGGGAAAGCGACCGATGAAGTGGGGACTTGGGGACAGTTGCTCAACAGGCTAAATAGCAGCCAGGTGCAGCAGCACATGCCTGGGTGCCAGCTACTCCAGAGGCGG